ATATCACGGCGGGGGACACCATAAATGGGCTTCGCACATTGTATCCATGTGGGGAATCGAACCCGGGTATTCGACGTGACGTTTAACCGCCAGGCCACCCCAACGCCCCAGGGAGCGCAAAGTCATACCCTTCGATATATCAACTGACACAATGTTTTCAGTGCATTTACTCCTGAAACGGAATGTAACTTTCATCACAAATTGGTTTTAATCCTGCAAATGAAAGCAATGGAAAGGGAAGTGTACTTCACGCTCCACCTGTTTGTGTGCATCAGATAACACGTTGTAAAGGGTAATCCTCTATCATACTCATTAACTACACACTAGACTGTCAATATTCCATTCCGAATGTTATTGTAACGGCAATCTGTTAATACATGAAATCAATACGTTTTATAACCTGAGAATGATGATATTGAAACAACCTAATGGGTTTTATTTAGGTAAGCTAATGTTCATCAATAAACGACCAGCTCCTGAATGCGATGTCACAACAACTTGCAAATGGAATATTTCAGGACGCGCTTTCTATGAAGATTTCAAGGTGAGGTGAGGTGAAATTGGGTTTAACGTCGCGCTGGAAAATATTTCGCTCATATGACGACGTGCATGCGTGTGTATGTGTAGGTGCGGCTGCTTGTACTAGCCCAGACTTAAGCTGGTTTTATAGTGCTAGCTCACTGAGATACCATGCCGCAGTGAAGCATGAATACCCCACTCAGACACATTATACTGACTCCGAGCCGACCAGTCCTTGTTGTACCCATTAATGCTGAGCGCCAGGCAGGGACCAACAAGTACCATATTTTAACGTCTTTTGGAATGACGCGGTCGGGGATCGAACCCGCGACCTTCCGCCCTCCGGGCGGACGCTCTAACCACTACACCACGGAGGCGGTCATGAAGATCTCAAACGTTATTATTCGGTAATATTGTTTAGAGGTTGTGTGGTCATGGGTACACTTGTGTTTGTTTCTTGTTTATCTCTGCTACCACAATGCTCCAGCTATAGCCATGTTCAATAAGGGTTGTTACCTCCCTTGAAAGTTGTCTCCCCTGTCAAACTCTTACTTGCTAAAAAAACAACGAATGTTACTTCCGGAGAGGAAAATCCAAAATGGAAGTATCGTCAAAGCGTCATTATTGTTGCGTATGTAGTAATCATCGTGGGAAACTAATCGATGGAAAATACATATCGTTGCACAGATTTCCTGTGAATAAAGCTCTGCAGAGGGCATGGTTACGGAGAATACGAGTCGTCAGTTCAACATTTCAGTTTCACGAAAAGAACGACAGGCTATGTAGTGTACATTCTAAAGACAACAAGTACGTCAAAGGAAAAAGTGTTCCCTCAATATTTACGTTGAGTGATGGAAGGATATAAATAATCTACATCAACTTCCTTCAAGTGGAATTTAGAAGCTGGTATGATGAAGAGGAACATCTTTTATGGGTAGACAACTTCTTTATTGCAATATATTCGACTTTTTCTGTGTAGATCCTAACACCATTATGAATCATATGATGAGTCTGGACCAGACAATCCAGTGATCGACAGCATGAGCATCGATCCATTGAAATAAGATGACATGTGCCAACCAAGTCAGCGAGCCTGACCACCCGATCCCGTTAGTCGCCTCTTACGACAAACATCGGTTGGTGAAGGTCAATTCTAAACCGTAACTTCATGCGTCCATTTAGCAGGGACTTTAGAACATTTTATAAACGTGGTTTGTCTTTGGCAGAACTTTAAAACTATAGCTGTTTGCATGAAAACGTCGACATGCCAAGGACAATTTTACCTTGCTAAATCATTTTGGTGACAGGTTTGACCAACATATAATTTAATGAACGCATTTTTTACGCGAAAAAAGTGAGTTTGCGTGACTTGTACCTGGACATGACAGTCTTACAAAAAGTACAAATTTAACATTTAAAACTTGGAATTGTATTCACCTTAGGATAAAAGTTGTTTAACAAACGATCCCAGTTTCAGATCGCTATTATTGTTTTGTATTACAAGGGAGTAAGCGCAATAGTTGGAACAGTGAAGCAAATGCACGTGCTGTACGTGATGAGTGTTAACTTCGACCAACCCTACTTGTTCTCGGTGTTTCATTTAATGTGCCGCTTTTAGCAATATTCCAGCAACATGATAGCGGGTTACACCAGAAATGGGCTTCACACATTGTATGTGGGGAATCGAACCATGACCTTCGGCGTGACGAGAGGAACGCTTTAACCACTAGGCTACCCCACCGCCCCGCTTGTCGGAAGCGGCGACTCTCAGGTGTTGGAATGTCAGTGATATATTGATAGTGCATGTGATATTATAGTATATAAAATATACGGCGTCAAACACCAATCACAGAAACATAAAATATGATCAGTTACTACATCTTTGGGCAAACCTATTTCTCAACAGATGGAACTATGTACCACATTGCTACTACCACTGTACAACAGTAGCTATGTTTTGAGTGAGTGAGTGAGTATGGTTTAACGCAGCTATTAGCAGTATTCCAGCAATATCACTGCGGGTAACACCAGAAATGGGCTTCACACATTGTACCCGAGCGGTACGCTTTAACCATTAGGGTACCCCAACGCCTCGCGAGAGAAATCGTATTTTGCTTCTCCAGGCCTAACTTCTTACTGGACATATATACTCCCTAATTATGACGTAATATCAATACACATGTAGTTATGATATTCATAGATTTTATATCATATTCTCTAGTAGTCAATGTTAACTCTTAGTGAGGGAAATGAAAAGTTAGAATCAATTTGACAGGAGTAAAGATCAATAATGAAACACTACGTATCCAGAACAAAGAGTGAGTGGGTGAGTTTAGTTTTACGCCGCTTTTAGAAATATTCCAGCAATATCACAGTGGGGATACCAGAAACGGGCTTCACACATTGTACCCATGTGTCACCTACTGGAAAATATCTGTACACACAATAAGCATAAGTGATGGAGATAAAAATGGCAGCACTAAATACTTAAAATTGTGGTCAGTTTTAATTACTGGTTGGATGTGCTTTTAAAAAACAAACATCTTACACTATTTCATCCAATCACAGCTGTCACATGTCTCTGTCTCTCTTCACTTGTTTACATACGGGTCTCGCGCAGGGAGCATGTGATACTGATTTAGTGTAGTGGAACCTCAGAACATGAGGGATGAGGCGGATACATCGTGCATATTTTGAAATTAGATTTTGACGGTTAAGTAACTCCCACTATAATTTATAAAATGAAATACGATGCACCCTCGCGTTTAAAGAAAATACAAAGAAATCAGCGCTGAGATTTATTGTCAAAGCGAATTTTAATATGAAAATATTTTATTCTGAACACAAAATGATCACCGAGCACAGGTGCAGTTGTTTATGAGAATTGAACGTGAACTCTCAAAATGTTTTTGTCAAATTGGAATCAAACATATATGTCAAAATATCTTACATAATTTGAACACATTTTTAATTTTGAATACACAGTACACATAAATTGTATCTCTGTAAAGTTTCACATTTATTCTGCTGTGTGGGTAGAATATATTGCGGCCAAAAACACCAACATTAAACGAACGTGCAAGATGAATTGTTGGCCAATGAAAAAGATGGGTTTTCATTCGTTTGTCATCACAGTTGTACAGCAAGTGAAAAGTTAAAAACATGCCAGTAGCTTAAAGCAGCAATGATATCTGCCGACAGGCGACTCGGTTTAGGAAGTAGTTAGGTTTCAATGTATTGCCAAGCACCATTACTATGGAACCGTCATCAGCCGTCAAATTTGGACCTTCCCAAATCCGGTCAACCACGTGTTATAACTGCTGCGCAGAACAGGTTCATACAGGTTCGTCGCTTAGGTGTTAGACTCACCAGAGCCATTTCAGGCCAAACAGAAAGGAACCGTATTCACGACGCAGGTAATCGCCCCAGGCGACAGACCAGCATCGTCGGCTGCGACGTCATTGGTGTCAAAGACACAAAGTATGGCCGCGACAGCGATGGAGATGGAGATGTTTGGTATAATGACGAGTTACGTTTTCTGGTTCTCCGTACAGACGGATGGGGAAGGTTAAGTTCGAAACTCTATACAGGAAGTGGACAGTTTTGGTGGCAGTTGTGTAATGGTGTGGGCCGACATCTCACATACCGCCATCTCACCGAATTCTAACAAAAGGGAATCTTCATTAAAGTAACTTGATAATGTTCTTGAATCCAAACATACATATACACTGTACATAAATATACCTGAATAATTATTTTCAAATACACACGTGTACAGATTTGCTACAAATTAAGGGATAAATACAGGAACTAATCATTAATGATTGTCATAAAACCTTACTTCTTCTGGAGACATCTCTTGGGCAGAACAGATTGCACCACAATGCTTTGTAGGCCATTGTGATATCATCAGTTGCCATGGCATCACAGTCAAATGACACACAGGTGTTGTTGCCTGTATTGTTGTAAACTGAATATGCTTGAACAACGAGGAGAGTTCTATGGATATACAACTTCTTTATTATCAATATGAGCGACTTTTATGTGTAGCTACTAACACCGCTATCAAGCAAGTGATAAATGCCATTCTAAGAAGTGAATATGCCTAGGGGGTAAATATGGTTTCACAAAGTCTCCTCAGTCTTGTATCATATCTTGTAATACATGTATATGAACACTCGTTGATAATTTGTTTTATACTTCTCATATTTGGATCGAAGTTCACACTGTCACCATTTCAATTCCAGCCACTGAAGTGGGGGGAAGCGATATCAGGCCAAGTTCACACGCTAAAAACCTTGGTGCTGTCCTCTCTGGCCCTTGAGCGTCACTCTGATGCTGTAAGCTACTTTCATATAGGAAACAGCAGCCTCATCAAAAGGTACATTGGTGAGAAAGCAGTCAAGACACTCGTCCATGCTTTTGTGACATCACGCTTAGACCATTGCAATAGTCTCCTTTCCGGATCATCAGCGAAAGCAATGCACAAATTACAGAGAGTCCAGAACTGTGCTGCTCGCCTACTTACTGGGACCAAACGCACAGAACACATCAGTCCAGTACTTAAGGCTCTCCACTGGCTCCCCATCAGATACAGAACCATGTATAAGATTCTCATCTTTGTGTTCAACTCTCTGATCTTACTCTACAATCCCAGAAGAGCACTGAGACCCAACTCCTGTGCTAGACATTCCACTGACGAGAAACAAATGAATTTCGGTGACAGAGCTTTTTCTAAAGCAGGACCGTGTCTGTGGAACAACTTGCCACCAAACATCCAGAACATTGAAGACCTTGAACTATTCGAGCGTGTCTTGAAAACTCACTTCTTTGACAAAGCCTTTGCCAAAGCCCCTCTGAGCAAAGATGTTGGAAAAGGCGCTGTATAAATACTTTACTTTTTACTTTTTTACTATTAATGATTCACCTTGAAATATTTGATTTCAAATGGCACGAGGTGATGTTCTCTATATAACCAATAATAACCTTAAATACCTACTGTGTAAATAGTAGGACAAAGCACACAATGGAAACAGAAACTGTCAAGGAGAATATAACGACGAAACCGATTTTGTTTAAACGTTTTGCCAGCTCTTTGTTCCCCTTCTTCAATATTCTCCTCTCTAACCTATTGGAAAGAGTATCATCGTATTGGTTATTTGGTTCTGGCGGGGAACACTGTTCTTCCGAATCTCCATGGTAAGTATTCAACACTAAAACCGTCAGCAAAGTTGTAGCTACTTTGACAAACATCATTGCGAGGAGGTAGATACTGAAGATGCTGACGGTATCTGACACCTCTGGTAGACTTCCTCCAATGACGGACAGGAACACTGCGTAGGACAGCACTATGGATATACACAGCGATACCTTCTCCCCAGATTCAGGCGGAAGTAGAAACACACCAAGGTTAAGGACGGAGAGAAGCATGACGGGAAGGATGTTGGTGATGATGTAGTACAGATACTTCCGCTTGAAGACGAACGTGAACACAATCTCCGTCTGAACCATATACTCACTATATGTATGAATAAAGGTGTCCTTGGATTTTCCAGTTATTTCCCATTCTCCATTTCTTTTAAACATTGACGGTTCAATTTCAACCAGACCTGCAGTCATATTGACTTGTCTTATGTCAGTGACCCACTGAATGAGATTGATACTGCATGTCTGGGTGTCAAAAGGAAAATGTCGCATGTCTAAAGAACATTTTGTATGTTTGTTCATATCTCTAAACCACGTTACACTTCCATTGCTCCATACCCTTGCCTTTTCCCCGATGGGTAATATCAAAGAGAGGCCGCCGAATCCATTTGTCAAACTCAAGTCCGGGATCCACAGTTTCTCCACGTGTATGTTTATATAATTTACACCACCATACTCATTTGAGTTCCAGGTCATCAGCTCATCTGTCCACTGAAGTGTTAAGAATCCAGATGAATCAACTGTTTGGGTAGTTTCCTCCAAGGCTTCCACTGATGTCATGGTGTAGGAAACCACAACCTCTACTGTCTCATTAGGATTCTTCCTGGGTCTGATATACGGCTTGTAGTGCTCCAGAAGGTCGTTATACAAGCTGTACAGAGGACCCTGATCAGAACCAGACTGAAGACAAAATGTATCACACAGACACAGACAGAGGATGAATTCTAGGTACATCTTAAGCATCTAAGGATCACACAGTGTTAATCAGAGATTAATCAACGCAAGCAGAGATCGGGGAAACAAACGTGCACATCGACTTTAAAGCAGCGTCATATCACACTGGTAATTGTCAGCGTTTGACCAGGAGAAATGTTGGTATCTAGGTATCATCATCATCATCTATCTCAAACATTTGAAAGTAGGACAACAGTGTTGGTGATCACTGAAAGCTAAAAGCTCTTTAGCAGGACAGTCGAAGTCAGGAGATATGTGAAGAATCAGTCTCCATGTACATAGCTGTACATAGGCTTCATTTTGTCACACAGCAATGAATCAAATATCAATATCCATTATACACACTATTTACAGGACGGTGTTGGTGTCTCTAATGTTAATCGATTGGGTCTAGGTATCTGTGTTTTCCGGTAGCTTATCTGAAAGGCAATAATGTGCAGATGTAAATCATGCACTGTGATTACTCAAATATTGGAAGTCTCCTTCGTGAATGTTTACACTGGCGTGATGCCCCGATAAACGCGATTCAGTTTCTGAATGGAAGATTATATAAATTACATCCTGTTACTATGGTGACTATTATGAAGTTTTCTGTAAAGTCATGGTATACATCACAGGATTCGATGCGATCACGAACAATACAACTCGACAACCTGTGGTCCCTGGATATTCCAAAACAATATAGCGTTCCACCATGCAGGGCCCTGAGATTTTGACAAGTTAGCATCCCACAATGTCGGTCCCAGGGATTTTGACAATAAAGCATCCTGCCATGTCGGCCCCAGGGATTCTGACAATACAGTATCCCGCCATGTTGGCCCAGAGATTCTGACAAGATAGCATCCCACCATGTTGGCCCAGAGATTCTGACAAGATAGCATCCCACCATGTTGGCCCAGAGATTCTGACAAGATAGCATCCCACCATGTTGGCCCAGGGATTCTGACAAGATAGCACCCCACCATGTCGGCACAGGGATTCTGACAATATAGCATTTTACCATGCCGCCCCCTGTGATGCCCCCACTATAACATCTCACAAATGGACCCCATGAATTAAGACCGCAAAGCTTCACGCCATGTTGGGTCTCTTTGATTCTGAAATTCAATCATCACAATATGCAGGTTCGTGAGTACCATTATAACATCAAAGAGACAATTAAAAGCCACAACAGCGGGCCTTTGAGTCTCTGGACAATGAAACCATCTAGTTGAGAGATATTTTATAGACCTGACCTTTATCAGTTTTGTGCCTCATTTTACAAATGTGTATACACTGATAATGACAACACATGGAAACATCAATTCTGATGGGTATTTTCTGAATATTGTAAAGCTACCGATCTTTATGTATACTATTCACACTTTGATTAGAATCAAATCATTGATTCAACAGAAAACTATGATGTGGGGTCTAATTTGGTTTAAATATCTAAGCTTATTGTAAGCATGGATTCTAGGTTTCAGTATGTCACTGCATCTTGTGGATCCCATACCTGCTATTGACAGGTGTTGTGTACTCGTAAATGACGCGTTCCATGATTTGCAAAATGGTTGATTGGTGCCATGAAAAACATTTTTATGGTTACTCATGTATCAAGTGCATAAGGTTAGATTAAAGTGGTTGTTTGCCTAAAGAAGGGTTACTATATTATAATTTATCCAGTTTTAAATGGATACAATTTCAAATTATAAATCAATGTTTAAGTAAAGTTGGGAATTTTTTGCGATCCTTAGAAAAGTGTGAGTAGTATATTTTACTCTTATAACACATAAATGCAAACACAAGATATTGTCATCTAAATGGATGTACAAATTCGATACATAGCGTAAAAGTCTGTTCGTCCTTGGCTGTATATTGTCAATACTTATGAGGACATTTTGCCTAGGTTGATGGTGTACACTGCATGTGTGATTACCGTGTGTTTAGTTCGTGGTAACATACATGATAATGGCCATTAATAAAGCGCCTGTTTACACACACGTGTGCATGTTCAAAGCGCTAACACGTACAGTGAACTTCGGTTACAACTATATTTAGTTATAACGGTAGTGGGTTATAAGCATTTGGACTGGACTCGCTCTGGAAAATATGAACACATCACTCCTATACTGTACACTCTCCACTGGCTTCCAGTCGAGTTCAGGATCCAGTTTAAACTCTTATGCCTTGTTTTCCGCTGTCTCGCTGGAACTGCACCTTCTTATCTATCCAATCTTCTAACCGTGTACACGCCTTCCCGATCTCTCCGTTCACAGGAAAAGAACTTGCTTGTTGTTCCCAAAGTAAAGACAGTGATGTATGGAAAGAGGTCCTTTGTCCATGCAGGATCTATAGCCTGGAACAGTCTCCCGCAGAGCCTCAGAGACTGTTGTGACTTAAAATTCTTTTAGATCCAATCTAAAAACACACATGTTCAAGATAGCCTTTGAACTGTAGCTCTTTACAATTAATCTCATCTTTATCTTGTGCGCTTTGAGCATGCTTGAGCATGGATATATGCGCGTAACAAATATGCTATTATTATTATTATTATTAGAGTTACACTGATGACACCAGGTGTTCGCGAAAAGAGGAAGCAATCGTTGATACTCATGTACACAATCACATGTACACCATTTTGAAATTCAAAACAAAAGTATGAAAAAGTGTAACGATAACACAAATGTTGTATGTTTCATACATAATGCTTTAACAGGAAACGCAGCTCTAAATAATCATTTTTCGTTTGTTCAAAGTAATTATTGCTCCATGATTGGGTGGTGTAGAATCTGTCTAATACTGTGACCAGCATGGTTGGTTCTACGGATCCGTGTAACATTATTATTGGTAGAATCGTCCAAAGGAGTCGGTATATTTTTATATACCTAATAGTATAATAATTACATGTCACTTAACGTGCATTAAGCTCATTGTTCAAGTATGAATGCAGAAGTTATATTTGTGTGAATCCTCTCGATAAGAGGCGGGTCTTGTTTTTGTCCCGATAAAACTACAGTAACCATTTACAATTCTTATTATCACGTTCACGAGCAAAATGTGTTAAATTATGGCCAGCAACTTGACACACAGAAGAAAGCAAGCTACAAAGAAATGTTTATGTTACTGGAAGGTTTCGAGGAAATAAATAAAAAAAATTAAGGTGCTAGAGTGTTCACGAGTTCATAAGCTCCCAAATTGGATCTGAAAGTGAATTTCTGCAAAAATATCTGGCAAAACAATTGTTCTGCAGACATTTCTGGCAAATATTTTTCCTGTTTTAATTTCTGGCAGAATTCAGCAGAAACTAGGTTCAATCTTCGGCTAGTTTAATTTGTATTTTTTTTAATGATGTTTTTCCCCTGAAAAAAACCTACTGGCTAGCTCTAACATCGTAAATTCCCCCTTAATAAAAAGCAAAGACAACGCAGGAAATAAACAAAACGTCCAAAGCAATCACCACAGAGTGGCGCAAGTACTAGACCATTCATAGAAATAACTTGGAATATACATCATCCCGCTGTTGAAGAAGAACTTTGGGATATGGGTTTGGGAAGGAAAAGGTATTTTTCAAACCATATATTTCGTGATTTTCGAGTCGAATTGTGGTGGTCAGGGTTTCCAGAAATGTAACTGTTGTCTTAACCAGTGTAAATCAATACGTTGTAAATGTTTTAAAGTCCTGCTGAAGTGTAATAGCTTGTATGATAACACTCTATCTTGTCCTAACAAATTAATTTTATCAGGAAATACTCTGCATTATAAATTTGGTTGGAAATTTTAGGGAATACATGAAATCCCTGGGGTCACAGGGATTTCATGAAATCACTGACTCTTTCAGGGATTACGTGAAATCCCTGGTTTCACACATTCCCTTGTAACAGATGAATCCCTGGAAATTGTAGGGAATACATGAAACCCTGCACATTACTATACCCGCAACTAGGTGTCTGCACGTGTTCGTGTGTCCACCATCTGGTCACCTGCCCACTAAACATGGGGTATCCGTGGATTGGTAGTACGTCAGCGTAGACAACCATCGACCACTCTCTACTGATGTTCAACGATTTGATGTTAAACTATTTATCTCATTAAAGATATAAAATATCAATAGTTGTGGCAGCCTTTTATTAAATATCCCCTATTTTTTTAGTAGCATATAATACGTGAATGACAAGTCTACAAGATGGACGCTCTGCTCACACCATCTTGTCTACAGCTAACAAACACGCCACCAGAACATCATTCCTGGAAATGGTTCAAAGTATTTTTGATATCAAGGTAGCCAGTTCAAGTCCTCGATATGTGATGAAAATGTCCAAAGTACATATACACTATTAATAGATTGAAAGTAAGCAACAGAATCACAATCATCAAACATTTAACGTTGGCCATAAATGTTCCAGGACAACTCTTCATCTCTTCCAACGTTCGAGTCATTACCATTCCATGCGGAAAGATACTAGCCGTGACACCACTTGCTTTTTGACGGTTAGTGCCCACAACGAAACGTCCAATAGAAAGTAATAAAGAAGTTGTATATCCATTGAAGTAATTCTCCTGTTGATCACGTGGTTTAGTTAACTGCTTTCCATTCTAGAAGTATCCAATCAGTTCTGTTCCTTTCGAGGCTTTAGGCAGTTAGTTAAGTCACTGAATGTTCCATACTTCGATCATGTCACCAGATAGATGTAATTGAGTGTTCCTGACTCTTTTCTTGAAATATTCAATCAGCTTCACGGCTTTAAGCCAATAGTTAAGACGCTTGAAACTGTAAACGTTTTTCTCATGACATAGCGATGAGGCTTATTGGTTAAATTATTAAACATGACGAGAGCCGAGTCGATGTACACGGGTGACATCATGACTGGCCCATGTCTTGATCTGTACACTGATGTTCACATATCTGGTACCTTGACCTTTCAATCAGAGTAATCTCCCTTGTTTCCTCCGTCACGTTATATAGAATAACGTTGTCATGCTGCTAAACACTTGTAGCTCTCACCGTCAGAGTGTGCTACATCCTCTTCAGCGTTATCTGTCATACAACCGATCCAACAAATCTTCGTATACATCATGCTCTGTTTATTCCTGCAGATTTGATGTCACAATGGTGATCACTCCTCTTTGATTTAGGTAACGAAATCATAAATCTTGGCTACAGATCTCGAACTATATTTGAGAGGCATTTAGCTTCCGTGGTCAAATTTCACTTGAGGTCACATGTTCACTGAGGTCACATTTCACGTAAGGTCACATTTTCTCATTTTAAGGAAAACATCAACCACATAAAACAAGTTTTACGTTTATATCCACTGATCGACAGTGGGTGAATAATTGTGTTCTTTGTCAAATTGTACTGGCTGGGGGCCTCTTGGTTCAGTAACAAGTCAATCCTTGAAGTCGACACCATTTCTTGTATTTCTGTAGTCATACTTGGTCTTCGCTTCAGATCTTAATACGACATTGACAAAATTTTGACTGGGAGCATTGGTCTTGAAAATAACAAGGGAAATAACTCCCGCCAAGATATATTACGGACAACAAAACAGTGCTTGTCCATTACATTGACAATCTTCACTTGGCAATTTAACTATTCTTTCAACAACAGTGCAAAACACAGAATGGTGATCATGACTGTGAGCAAAAATACTATCGTGAAACCAATCTTGTTTAAATATCTTGCGAGTTGTTTCCCTGTCTTCTTCAAAGGCGTCTGCTGTTTTACTAGTGTACTCTCTTGTTCATAATCTGATTTAGAGATGTCTTGTATTTGTCTTTGCATGAGGCGGTTTGAGAGGGAATCTGCTTCTTCGGTGGTCTGATGGTAAACTTGCAAAACGAAGACTGTTATCAAAGTTGTTGCGACTTTGAGGAACATCATTGTCAAGAGGTAGACACTGAAGATGCTGACAGTGTCTGACACTTCCGGTAGACTCCCTCCAATGACAGACAAGAACACTGCATAGGACAGCACTATGGAAATACATAGCGATACCTTCTCCCCTGATTCAGGCGGAAGTAGAAACACACCAAGGTTAAGGACGGAGAGAAGCATGCCGGGAAGGATGTTGGTGATGATATAATACAGGTATTTCCGTTTGAAGACGAATGTGAAAACCAGCTCCGTCTGGATGTAAACCTCAGTATATGTATGAACAATAACCTCTTTTGATTTGTCCAATATTTCCCATTCTCCGTTTTGTTGAAACATTGACGATTCAATGTGAACCCCACCTGCTGTCAAATTGACTTGGGAAATTACAGTAACCCACTGAATGAGATTGATACTGCATGTTTGGGTGTCAAATGGAAATTTGGTCATGTCTAGAGAGCACTTGGTACATTTCTTCATCCCATGGTACCACTGGATCAATCCATCATCGTTCACCCTTGCTATTTCTCCGCTGGGAAGAATCAAAGATAAGTCTTCTAATCCATTTGTCAAACTCAAGTCCGGAAACCACAGTTTCTCCACAGGTATATTTATAAATTGTACACCACCATAGTCACTTGAGTTCCAGGTCATCAGGTCATCTTTCCATTCAAATTGGATGACTGCAGATGAAGCTACTGTCTGTGTGGTTTCGTCCAAGGCCTCCACTGATACAATGCTATAAGAAACTACTACCTCCACGGTATCGTTAGGATTCTTCCTGGGCCTGATATACGGTTTGTAGTGTTCCAGTAGGTCATTATACAAGGTGTACAGAGGACCTTGATCAGTTCCTGATTGTCGACCGCTCGTACCACAAATCGAGATGCATGCTGCTAGAACAAAATATAGATTAGACATTGTCACCTTGGTGATCAAAGATCCTTATATCTGATTAGAGTGTCTTCTTTTCCTGTTTGGGACAGGTTGGATACAGTTGGGAAGCTCGTGTGAAACCCTCTTGGATCTTCTACCATCCAGCAGATGCCCTGACTAATGATGAATATATGGTGGGTGTTATACACTGCCTTCTGAAAGTCACCACACCTGAATTCTGTAAAGAAAAATAGTCATTAAAAAGTGTCCGTTTTACATTACAAAAGTAGGGTGAAATCAGAAACGTCAGTAATAGAAACGTAACATGGAGAATAACGCTGCCCAGATTACCACATTTAACTACGACCAGCTGAGATCAATGTCAATATACAGGCGGTGTGATCAATAACATCATTTAGATTGTAAGGATAACTGTCACGTAGTGCTGCATGTGTGAACTGAAAACACTTTTGCGCTCATCTCACACCGACTGTATTTCTGCTTTTAAATGATTTTACTGTTGTGTATACAGACGCATCTCAGTTCGGACAGACAAATTGTTCTTTGCAGAGAATCAGATGTCCTGTGACGTCGACTGAACCAATTCATACATTATCATTCCAAATATACAAGCTCTCCTTCACTATGAAAGAGCAATGATTTAATTCAGATAAAGATTCTTCGAAGACTATAAACAGACACTTTAAGAGGAGGTTTATTATGGGCCTTGTAGTTTCGGAGATGACAGAACTACGAAACTTACAACTGGTCAAAGCTTGTTGACTGATCAATTTGAAAATATGCCAATACAATGGTACATGATCCCTGCACATCAAATAAAATAATGATGCATGCGGAATGGCATAGTAATCCGCGTATAATACGATACGGATTTCTGTTTGGAGTCTTAATTAAGATAACTGGCATTATCAATGGAACGTTTCAGCATCAGAGGCCTTGTACTTTCATTCAAAAATGCAATACCATACAAACAGTAGTGTTTTGGTGTCAGAGTTAGATTAGATCACAATTAGAATATGGTAAACAACATATTATATGCATAATAAATACCTAGTAATGAGCAACATTTCTAGATTTTGGAAATTAGTGATAATTTTTCAATGACACAATACAAAGTTTCAGTTTGAGGGGGTGTTTGGTAATGACAGACATATCTAAGGACATCGGACAATGCACAACAACATAAGCTTACTTGAGTATGAGTCACCAAACGAGGAGAGATGAAAGGACACTAACCGAGGCCAAATCAGTCGATGTCCTGCACTGTCAATCTACAGAATAAACATGAAGCTAAGTGGTGAAGGCAACAAAGGATGGATATAGTCCAACAGCTACAAAATCATTAAGATAATCAATACTTGGATTAAAAGTGTGGACAATTAGAAAAGCGATTCCATCGGATTAATGAACATGGGTATTCACTGATTTGTTTCATCTTGATGTAGAAGAACGAATGCGAGTGATGGATCTATTTTACTGATTTGGTAAAAATAGGTCATATTTGACATAGAAGACAAAACACGTTTGTACAGGAATATTGCTTACTACAAGAGAGAATCAAGAATAAGGAGCCACAGTCTGTGGATTCTGACAATGGGGATAGTGGATGGTTTCACTCAAAGTGAAATGCTCCACCTTAGACGACTGCACACTCTGAGGATCAAGAACCAATGTCCAAGAACCAAACGGAATCATGTTTATCAAAAAGGACTCGCATCGAGTCAAAAGAGGTAGCGTTTGATGACAAGGTATTTCATACAAATTTTAAGGGTGACATTGCTGAGCTGTTCTCTGTGTCAGTTGTCATTTCGGTGACAATTGCTAGGAATATGGCAGTGTCAATGAGTGAGTGAGTGAGTTTAGCAGCATTCCAGCAATATAACGTCGGGGGACACCAGAAATGGGCTTCACACATTGTACCCAATCGAACCCGGGTTTTCGGCGTGACGAGCCAACGCTTTTACATCTAAGCTACCCCATCACCCCTCAGTGAGTTTTATGGCTGTTCATCCCCAGTTGTCACAGTGGAAACTGGGTTCAGTTCACATGCTGTTAGAATAGTAGACAATCAAGCATTGCAACAGTTTTGCAGTGCGACCACAATGCAGAACCAAGATTAAAACACCACATTCACCATTAACAATGTCAAGTGGTTCAGACTCTGTTACAATTCAGTGTTCCAATTGGTTTGTGAATGGTTTGTGTAATCACTGATAGATGATTTTTCAGGATGTGTCTAATGCACCACTGAAAATAGTTGTATGCATGAAATGGCTCAAGATCAAGAACTATTCTAGCACAAATGGTTTCCTAGTATATAATTCACTACCGGGCTTATACTGTCATTATGAAACGATTTGCAACTGAAACGTAAGAACATCGAAGCATTTACAAATGCATTGAAACACAAGGAATCTGCCCTCACAACAGAAGAACATGATCGCGACATGCAGGTCTTTCACCTTAGAAAAATGACACTCACTGCAACGTTCACTGCAACACAAAATCCTAACCTGTGACCCTATTGTTCATCCATAGCCATTTTCGTTGACAGAAGCCGAGCAATAAGATCCTGCGTTTTCTTAAACTAATCGACTTTTTGCATTTATTTTGCTAACGTCATCAGTGGTTTCTCCACCGTTGCCGTAACGCTTTGTTCAATGATGCTAACATTTTTTTTCTTCAAATGGGTAATGGGTGAATGTTCCTTTGTCGGCAATGGTATGAGCGTTATAGGCTAAGAACTAGTTTGTACATATCCAGGGAATCCTAACAGGTGTGTGTCATCAGCTGGTCCTGGGTTTCCAGCATCAAGCGACAATATATGTGTCCGCACACATTATTGATGTCCCTTGGAACTGAGAACATAAACATCAGCTGCCACTTGCTCTTCGTCACCCAAGACTACAGGCTTTATGGCAATTACTACAAGATATTCAGGAAGAATAGGCTGCCATTCCACAAGGTGTCATTCGCAAGGGTCTTGGTTTGTATTCTTTTAATCACACGCATAACTCAACATATTATGACAGTGTATTTTATTTGCAATGTTGTAAGACATTGTTTTTGTTGAGAATGAGGAAAGGTTCCTCAATGACTCCTCACATTACGCAAAGACAAGATGTTGTTTGATGATCCTGATTATAGCCAGTAGGAGTCCGTTTTGGGAAGCTTTCACCATTGTTGCTTTGACCACTTTTAATATTATCATCACCGACAGCAATTACCACTGACTATTTTGCACTGTCACTCTATTTAGTACTGCCTTTGAAATTGCCTTGTAGTGATTTGTTATTGCTTTTCAACTTACCTAATAGAAAATAACATCTGTTATTTGTATAACAATTTCAGTACTTGATGGTGTCACAATGAATTCTTTTGCGTTTTGGTGTAATAGTTTAATAGTTTCAGTTTGCAAGTAGGCGCATAACAATACTGTACAATTTACACGATAGTCGTTCAAGTGTAGTATTGACATAATGATTTTAACCTTTCGCTCTGTGTCTCGTTGATGGGAAAAGTACATTCATAGACAATAATTTGACGTCAGACAAGAATGATTCAGCATTTGGTATTTTACTAAGCAAACAATCTGAATCACGCAAACACCGATACTTTTGAGCGTGAATAAATGGCTTTGGCTAACGATAATGCATCCCACATTATATTTCACGCTTCCTTAGGCTGGGCAAATTGTGAGAGGACAAGTCCACTATTTCCGGGGAAGGGGGGTTAATAGGGGTAATAATTACTATTGTTAATCTTGCTGCAGCTGATGTAAGGGCATTAACGAACTTCAATAATCAATGTCAACTTTCCCAGGATGTAGTTTTGATGGAATACTGACGAATGTCATCTTCTAATAGGAAATCAAGCTCAATCTATTCTCCCTGGTGAATGGAACCACCCAACGTTTTAATCATAGAAGTGCTATCGCCTGGGACATACACCATTAGTTCATTCAACGTTCACACAACATGATTCTGGGTGTGCTCGTTGTCCTTGTTTCAATATGTCGTGCCGCACTGTCAGGCTCCGAATCTTTGCCAGTGGCAAAGAACGAGAGTCAACTGTTTAAAGATATCTTCAGGAATTACGACCCTCTGGTTTGGCCAAACCAAAACAATTCTCCGAAGTGGAGCATTGACGTCTGGATGAGTATTAACTCGTTGGTTGATCTCAACGAAAAAGATCAAGTTCTAAGTCTGTCAGCCATGTTTGGACTGACGTGGAAGGAGCCTCTTCTCAAATGGGATCCGAAGGAATACAACACGGAGGTCATCTATGTGCCAACAGACAAGCTCTGGCTGCCAGACGTCATCGTGCAGAACGCCGTTTCCAATTACGGCCAAATTGGTAACAGGAACTTGAAAGTCTATCTGGAGTCGACAGGTACCATAATATGGTTTCCTGGGGACTTTTACAAGACCTACTGCAAGGTAGATGTCCGTCACTACCCTTTCGACACCCAGTACTGTAAGATGATCCTGCAGCCGTTGAGCTGTGAAAGGAAGATTGTAAACCTTGATCTAGCTCCAGAACCAATTGTGTACATGAATTATGAGGAAAATGGGGAGTGGGGCTGGAAGAAATAGTTCCACAAAAGGTTTGGCAAGACAGGGGCAGTCATTTCCGTGTGGAATTCACCTTAAACATGAAGCGTAAAACCTTGTTCTACATTGTCAACATGATCCTGCCAATAGTGTTTCTGTCTCTATTGAACTCCCTCGTCTTTGCTCTGCCTGCCAACTCGGGAGAGAAGATCACCCTCTGCATCTCTGTTATGCTTTCCTATGCTGTGTTCCTCACACTCGTCAACGACGCTCTTCCCGAGAATTCAGACGGAGTATGTTACTTCAGTGCCTATCTAGCTACTGAAATCTTTCTCAGCATGGCGGCCACCATCGTCGCCGTTGTCAACTTGGCATTCCACCACCGAGACCCAAGGTACATAAGGGCAACCCGCTTGCTGACGTATCTCTTGCCAGACAAGAAGATCAAGATCAATGCTGATGACATAGTCAAAGTCAAAACCATTGACCAGGCTCCCGATACACATGATGATTGCACAGGGATTAAAGTGGTTCTTGGGTCCGACATCGCTGCTGCGCTGGATGGACTCGGCTTTAAGGTGTTCACCATTGTCAACATCGTTGCCAGCATGTCCTTCTTCTATGCCATGTCTGGACTGTACTGATCTACCTTGTCAACAATATATTCAGTAAATAACAATGACAAAACCCTGTCCACTCCCGTAAGACAGTATCATCAGTATGTGTTTGTTTGACACCGCATTCAACAGTATTCCAGCTGTATATTGCGGTCTGTGAACAGTCGGGACTGGACCAGACAATCATTAGATATGATGACAGAGCATGTGTTTGTGAATGACTATCAAAGAATGAAATGTTAACCGTATCCTGCCTAACCAATAGCACCAGTCAGTAACATATGCAAAGGATAGACAACTTTTCACCTGAAAAATACGAAATAGTGATGAATTGTGAAATACATTCTTTAAAAGCGTATTATTTATCATCACTGTTTCAGGAATATTCTGATAATAATGTCTCAAGTAAACCAGTGAATCTAATATGTTTTACATTGTGTGTTTCTCACTACCAATCTGGGTAGTAGATCAGGGATCAGATTCGAGAACGAAATTTTAATAATCCTTTCTTTTGTCAATGTCTTAATTGTGTCTGTGATTCATCTTCTCACGCCTGCTGGTTATGTTTCGAAGGTTGTCCTAACACCTACCCATTTTGCAAACTCACTGTCAGCTTGAAATGTACCCAAGATCTAGTCGTCCACTACTCTTTTGGTCGTAGACTATGTGTTATTATGCTTGGCAAACGTCAACACCTGCAACGATGCTGTAAATACAGGAAATATGCTAAAGTACTGAAGTCACCATGGTCCTGTTTATAGGGACCTACCTTCAGCTCCTTGCATCTATAGTCCATATTGTATTGTGTATAGTGACTTCTGGGTATGGTTACATGTTGGTATTAAATACAGATGTGCGATACTGGAGTTGTTTTACTGTCCATAGTCGACATGACGTATTGCTTATATATCACGTATAAACTGTTTTCATTGCGGTATGGCTGAAACATTGCCTATGTAACATTAAATTCGAACTCACTCTCTCACCTACCACCAGCGTCTTGTTGGGGTAACTCTCGGACTATAGGATATTGGGTTACAACCTGTGCCTGTGAAGCATAATGCCTGGGTCAGGAACATTACATTCATGACACAAACTGAACCTTTGCCTATTGGGAGCAAGCTTGATTCTAAGTGGGCACGTTGATGTCTGATATCGGTCAGAGGAAAATGTAATATGAGACTGGTTGAAGCTGACTTTGGTTCCAACAATTATACCTTGCTGTTGCTGGTTTGGTATTTATTATCGAATGCGATGTCAGCACCATTTCTTTATGTTCTGTAATAATTCGTGTTCATTGTTTACGATGACTTTTGACATGGAACAGCACCATTCGTCTTGAATTCAACAAGGGGCATAACACCCACCTGATATTGGCCATTACGTTGACATTAACATAATTTCTTCAAATGACAATTTACTGTCATTTCAACAGTACTGTAAAGCATAAAATAGTGATCATGACTGTTAGCAAAATACAATTCAAACACTTGAAATCTGGCCCACAACAGATGCACAGGATGGCGACATCCGGGTCTTTTACTTTTGAAACAAGATATTCATGCAACATACACTCCAGCACAAATTCCTGTCCTGCCTCCAATTTGTGCACATCCACAAGCATTTAGGAGTTGTCAGGATCCGAGCAAGACGTTCTAGGCGTTATCTAACCCCAATGGACTTCAGCAGCTGCAGTGGTGTTGCTTACGTCATCAGTGGCGTCTCCAACGTTGAAATAACATATTGTTCAGTGATGGATATTGTTTCTTTCTTCAAAGGAGAAATGGGTGGATCCTCCTCTGTCGGCTACGAGGAAAGCGTTATACTGGGTAACTTGTTTGAGAGGCATTTAGAAGTTGGGGCAGTAAGGAAGGATAACAATATATGGATGAAGAACCTACACCGAAACGTCGCTCTCACGGCAATAAAGAAGTTGTTCATCCATATATTGCTATCCTTCCTTATACTGGGTGTTGCATAAAAGAGGTCGACATATTTGGTGTGGTAAGTCTCACAGGCGAGGAACATGTCTTGTTAATGTCCATGGAAACCTATCAGATGGGCATCATCAGGTAGTACCGGCTTTCCACCACCAAGCAACAGTGTTAGGGTCCACACACGGTACTGATGGCTTCGTAGCTCACAACATAACTCTCTAGCAGTCACCAGCTATCAGCGTCATCCAAGACTACCGTTATTACAAGAAGATGTTCAGGAAGAAAGGATGGGTGTCGTTCCACAGATTCTGGCATCTTCTAAGCACACGCGTAACTCAAGAATTACTTTTGCACTATGGGCGAGTATATCATTCATGCTTTACTCTTATAATAAGGAAGTCCTTATTCACGCACAGAAAACCATCATGATCCTTTAGATATATGGATGTTTAGCGAGAGCAGCTAATGCACATCCCAATTGCCAGAGTAAAGACTGTAAAGGATTGCTTTAATCATCTGATAATAAATACTGACACAAAATCCATACTAATTGTATCTTGATAGTTGGAATGTATGAAGCAAACCTTTGACTCAGCACGTGTGGGAACTGGAATACAGTTGCCATCCCACCTCAAATGTTACCATGGTAAGACCTAAATAAACGAGGGGTTATCAACGGCAGAAATGGATACGCTAGAGTACAGAGCAGTCATAAACTGTTTGATCCTCAAGGGCCACCCGGCGAAGCACACTGAAGAGCGATTGACCGCGTACGAGTACTGAGTCTCATGGGGTACTCGTACTGCTGTCAATCGCTCTTCAATGTGCTTCGCTGGTTGGCCCTCGAGGACCAAACGCTTTATAACTGTTCTCTACTCCATTCGTAACTACTCGCCTTTTTCCGTGACCTACAAGAAGAGTTGTACCCTATCGTACGCCATTATTGCCAAGAAACGTGGCAAACCAATGAAATCGCGCCTAGTAAAACGCATTTCGAAGCATGGAAATGGCGGCCCTGTTGAACTTTGTAACTTCGTTAAACTATGCAAAGCACAATTTAAACATAAACTTTGAGCTAATAGATCAGCAACTTTAAACACTGAAACATATTTACAAAGGGAATGACAATATTGCTGTTTTGCCCACGGGACATAGAATATTTTAGCAGGAAGAATAGAAGATGCTGTAGATTATCCTTGATTCTAGGAGCCATGTTTGCAAATTCAGAGTTCTCTTTCCTTGGTAATAGTACTAGACTATTTTCATATCCATGCCCATTTGCGTTTAGACAGGGCCCAGTCGTAAACATGGCCACGCGAGGGGTACGAGACGCCATCCGGCATTCGGGAATGTACGAGTAGTTACGAATGCTCTCTACTGAAGCTTATCCGTTTCTGCGGTTTATTTAGGTGTACATGTGATTAGATGTGACCGGAAACTAGCGACATGTGCATGTCTATGTTACGTTTATGTAAATGATATAAACCTTTATCATCATACAGTTATTTTTATCATGCACATATCAGAAGTATTTTAGGCACAACACTTTTGATAGGCCCTCGTAGTTATTTTGGTTGGGAGCTGTTTAAAATACGATCACGAATATGAAAAAATATTTGTAAATATTCATCTGAGCAGTACCCTAAAGTGGTAGCACAAATCTAAAAGACAATAATTCCACATTTCAACACGTGCAAGACACACAGAGATCTGCCTACAGGAAACTATCTTCCCTCGCTTATTGATGTATCAACTGAAATCGATGAGAGCAGGATTTTTGTTTGTGTTACCCCAGTATTGAAAACACTATACACGTAGATAAATCAATGGTAATTAGAATTCACTGCAATGATAAACTCAACATTTCCGGTTTGTTTTTCAGTAGGCCTAGTATAGTTTGTCATAGATTCGTGCTGTGATGCTCACTCATTTCAAAAACTAATCTGGGCGTATATACTCATAATCGTATGGAAAAAACAACTTAATGTTCTCTAATTCTGTGTTCTTCAGAATTGGAGGCTGATTCCACAACCCTGCTAGAACTGCTGGAATCATCGTTCGCGTTATTTGCGTTGTGGTTTTTAACTGAAAAGGTTGTATTTGTCGAGCAGCATCTACAACCAGGATATCATCTCTGTCCATAATTTTATAAATAACTGCTGATTGTCGCTTGGATTCCTCAATCGTGGCATTCAGTCAAGTGATTCGCGTTTCCATGATCTCCACGAATGTGCATCCACGCTGGTAAGGGTGCACCGTGTTTTGACATGTCAAATTCCGTTTTATTAACTGTTACGATTAAAGTATTATGAAAATAACAAAAGCATACATCCAAACTTGAGATTTCAAACGAACTGTTTGCCATATGCATTAATGTCTGCACGTACCAATACTGTACAATTAGCACGATAGTCGTGCAAGTGCAGTATTGACAAAACGATTCTGTTTCAAGCTTTCGTTCAAAGACTCATTACTGGCAAAAGTAAATTCATCAACAACAGTTTGACGGGAGATAACGATTCAGCATTTGTTATCGCACTGAACAAACAAAGTGAATCACGTAATACCAACAGTTAGGGCTATAAATACCTTTCTTTAGTTTGAGATAATGCTTCCTATATTTCAAGCTCCCACAGCCTCTGCACATTGTGAGAGGACAAGTCTACTGTTTCCCAAGGGGTAATATTTGTACTTTAAATATTATCTATTGTCGCTATCGCTGATGTCATGGCATTAATGAAGTACAATTATGAATAATAACACTTGGCTCTTTGTAAATATGAAGAATACGAACGGATGGCATCTTCTTAAAAAGGGTTACTTCTGACATAAAGTACCTTCGATTCTCCCTGATGTATGGAGACACCCAACGTTTTAATCATAGACGTGCTATCGCCTGGGAAAGACATCATCAGTTCATTTAACATGTTTCTGGGTGTGCTCGTTGTCCTTGTTTCAGTATGTCATGCAAAAATGTCGGGCCCCGAAACTTTGCCTGTACCAAAGAACGAGAGTCAGCTGTTTAAAGATATCTTCAAGAATTACGACCCTCTGGTTTGGCCAAACCAAAACAATTCATTGAACTGGAGC